TGAGACTCCAACGCAAAAAAAAAAACTGTGAGCTCAGGCAATCCTCTTGCCTCCGCCTCCCAAACTGCTAGGATTACAGGCATGAGCCACCACACCTGGCCTTGAATAAGTGTTTTATATGTAGCAATCACTTCTCAGTTTTTTCTAAGATCATCTATTCACTTTCAGGCATTGCTGAACTTTCCCTTCTCTTTCATACCTGCTTGTGCTCCTTTGGGATATTTAGACCTAATGGAATGTAATCTAAGATTTCTCACAGACAAGACCGAGTTGGGTTAGAAAAGCTCCATTCATAACCAAAATAATAGTTATTTCTTTTACCTCATTTCTGCTGATAAGATTTTAAAAGCATGCAAAATAATACAGCAAACTTTTTCTAATGGATTTTTACACAGGTGCTGCTTTTACTGAAGGTTTATCAAGTGGCTTAAGCACTTCTGTTGCTGTGTTCTGTCACGAGTTACCTCATGAATTAGGTAAGAGAACCTGCAAATCATGTTTGCCAGGTGGGTGAAGCATCCTAGCTTCACTGGCTTTTGCTAGTGCTAGTTTCAGCAAGCTTCTTCAGAACTTCTGTGCTTTCTCGTAAGCCTGGTCACCTTGCTGGCTATGTTTTCTTACTGAACACAAGTTGATTTCTAGCCAGAATTTTGACCTTACTAGTGTGAATACACAGTTGCCTTTGTGGGGTTGCTAGAGAGGATTCTGGGCCCCTTCTGTCATCTTTCTCCCCCCACCAAATGTCTTTATGTACCAGCATTCTGGTGACATCAGTGATCATCTTTATACACACTATGAAGAAGATCACAGGGCTCAAAGGAATCGTCTTCTGCTAACAGAGAGAAGGCGGGAAAGAGCTAAAGAAAAGAAGGGAAATTGATGGGTTGTGTTTTGAATATTGTTCCTCTTTGTCCCCAGGACTTAAAACCCTTCCTAGTTGTTCTGGATCCCAGTCCATGTCCCTGTTTTTCTTCTTATAGAGATATAGTTATACACACCCTTCATGCTATTTTCACTTTTGTTCCTTGCCGTGTATCCAACTATTCGGAAAGCCTCACATCTGCCTACTATTCCTCGGTATCTAATTTATATTCCATGTTCTAGGTCCTCATCCCCCAGGAAACCTCTCTTCACGATTTCGATCTTCATGAACTTCTTTCTCCTTTTATAACCTTAGCATTAGACTCCCGACCTCTTAGTTACATGTTGCTTTTATCATTTGCTAGTCATATCATGTGTTTTCCACCCTCCCTTCCCTTTGTGGCCAATTACAAATTCCTTGAAGACACACAGGAGCACAATAGCAATTTTGTGGTCTTTATCATTCTCTAACAAAGTGTAAACCTTAAGAAAACTTTGTACAGAAGATGATTTATAGAGCTGTTAGGGTGATTTACTGATTAATGCTACTTTAGCCTTGGGTAATTCTTAATTTTGCTTTTTTTCCTCTAAAAAAAAAAATAGAGACTATTCTGGGAAGTCTCTTGGGTATGTGTGTTAAAAATTATTTCTCAGTGACTTTTTTAATCCTGTTTTTTTCTGTCAAAGGTGACTTTGCTGTTTTGCTAAAGGCTGGCATGACCGTTAAACAGGCTGTTCTCTACAATGCTTTGTCAGCCATGCTGGCGTATCTTGGAATGGCAACTGGCATTTTTATTGGCCATTATGCTGAAAATGTTTCCATGTGGATATTTGCACTTACTGCTGGCTTATTCATGTATGTTGCTCTGGTTGATATGGTAAGTTTTTGAGAAGTTAAATTACATTATTGGCTAACTAAAAAAAAGAACATGTTCAGTAAAGCCTCATTCGTTTTTCTTTTTTTTTGGTAGAGGAGAAGGATGGGATCTTACTGTGTTGTCCAGGCAAACTCAAACTCCTGAGCCCAAATAATCCTGCATCAGCTTCCAGAATAGCTGGGACTGTAGAGCCAGTAAAATCTCATTTTAAAAAAAGTTTTAAGTTAAATGTACACTGGGTGCATTGGCTCATGCCTATAATCCCAACACTTTTGTAGGCGGAGGCGAGACCATTGCCTGAGCCTAGGGGTTCAAGACCATTGTGGGCGGCTTGGTGAGACCTCATCTCTACAATAAATCAAAAAAATTAGCTGAGGGCAATGGCACACACCTGTGGTTCCAGCTACTTGGAAGGCTGAGACAGAAGGATCACCTGAGCCCAGCAGGTCAAGTCTGTGATGACCGTAAGCATGCCACTGCACTCCAGCCTGAGTGACAGTAAGACTACAACTCAAAAATAATACAATAATTAAGTGCAGTAGTGATGAGAACGGATTCTGTATTCAGAAAGGTGGCATATAAGAATCTAGATCGCCTTGCTAGACTCTGGTGTGGTCATGTGCTCTTTTTTTTTTTTTTTTTTGAGTTGGAGTCTCACTCTGTTGCCCAGACTGGAGTGCAGTGGCCGCTCCCGGCCACCACAGCCTCGCCTGCTGCGCTCCTGCGATCCTTCCACCTCAGCCTTCCGAGTAGCCAGAATTGCAGGCATGCGCTACCACGCCCGGCTGATTTTTTGATTTATTGTAGAGATGAGGTCTCGCTGCCCAGGCGGATCTCGAACCCGCGGGCTCAGGCAATCCACTCACCTCAGCCTCCCAAAGGCGCGGGATTACAGGCTGAGCCACTGAGCCCGGCTGGTCATGTGCTCTTTGAGCTAAGTCTGTCGCCATGCTTCCTGGCTTTGGCCCCCTCCCCCACCTTGGGGAGGTGAATCTTCTCTCTCCCTTCTCTTTCTCTCTCTAATTTACTTTTTTTTTTTTTTTTTTTTGAGTTGGAGTCTCACTCTGTCGCCCAGACTGGAGTGCAGTGGCTGCTCCTGGCCACCGCAGCCTCAACCTGCTGGGCTCCGGCGATCCTTCTGCCTCAGCCTTCCGAGTAGCTGGAACTACAGGCGTGCACTACCACACCTGGCTAATTTTTTATTTATTGTAGAGATGAGGTCTTGCCAAGTTGCCCAGGTGGGTCTCGAACCCGCAGGCTCAGCCTATCCACTCACCTCAGCCTCCCAAAGGCGCGGGATTACAGGCTGAGCCACCGTGCCTGGCTCTCTAATTTACTGTTAAGTAAACTTTTTTTCCTTAAAAAAAAAAAAAAGAATCTAGGTCCTTTAGAATTGATATTTTTTTGGATTGTTGATCACAAGCACGTTATCTTGCCTAATGCATATCAGATAGACAAAAGTATCTACCCTCTTCTGATGGTAGGAATCTCCATAATCAGACATTGAATTATCTATAGATTTTAGGAAATCCAGCCCAAGACACATAGTGTTGGCAAGCTCTATGTACTTCAAATGCTTCAAGTTTTCTTTTTTTTTTTTTGAGTTGGAGTCTCACTCTGTCACCCAGACTGGAGTGCAGTGGCCACTCCCAGCCACCGCAGCCTCTAGCCGCTGGGCTCCGGTGATCCTTCCGCCTCAGCCTTCCGAGTAGCTGGAACTGCAGGCGCGCGCTACCACCCCCGGCTAATTTTTTATTTATTTTTTTATTTTACTTTATTTTACTTTTTTTTAAATATATATATTTATATCTACAATCCACCTGGGATTGATTTCTTTTTTTTTGAGTTGGAGTCTCACTCTGTCGCCCAGACTGGAATGCAGTGGCTGCTCCCGGCCACCGCAGCCTCGACCTGCTGGGCTCCGGCAATCTTCCTCCGCAGCCTTCCAAGTAGCCGGAATTACAGGCATACGCAACCACGCCCGGCTGATTTTTTGATTTATTGTGGAGATGAGGTCTCGCCAAGTTGCCCAGGCGGGTCTCGAACCCATGGGGTCAGGCAGTCTACTCACCTCAGCCTCCCAAAGGCGTGGGATTACAGGTTGAGCCACCAAGCCCAGCCTTTTTTTTTTTTTTGAGTTGGAGTCTCACTTTGCCACCCAGGCTGGAGTGCAGGAGCATTCTCACGGCCACCGCAGCCCCTACCTTCTGGGCTCGGGTGATCCTTTCGTCTCAGCCTTCCAAGTAGGTGGAACTATAGGCACCATTCCACCATGCCTGGCTAATTTTTTTTATGTATTGCAGTGATGAGATCTCACCAGGTTACCCAATCTGGTCTTGAACCCGTGGGCTCAGGCATTTCTCTCACCTATCCTCCCAAAGTGTTGGGATTATAGGCATGAGATACCATGCCCGGCCTTTTTTTTTCTTGATTTGGAGTCTCACTCTATCACCCAGACTGGAGTACAGTGGTGCCACCCCAGCGTCGACCTCCTGGGCTCTGGCAATCCTTCTGCCTCAGCCTTCCAAGTAGCTGGAACCATAGGCACATGTCATCACGCCTGGCTGATTTTTTTATTTATTGTAGCGATAAGGTCTAGCCATGTTGCCCAGGCTGGTCTCCAACCCCTGACCTCAGGTAATCCTCTTGTCTTTGCCTCCCTAAGTGCTGAGATTACAGGTGTGAACCACCACGCCCAGCAAGATTCCTTATTAATAGACATGGGAGTTGTATCTTTTTGTCACTAAAGTCCTCAAAACAATCCCAGCTAATCCTTTTACTAAAATTGTATTATACATAATGTAAGGTTTTCTATTACTGAACTAAAGGTGAGCCACGTGTTACTTTCAGTTTAGATGTGCAGGCAGTAATTGAAGCTGTAAATTCAATATCGCTTTTCATGTTGCATGGAACAAACTGAACCAGAAAATTTTACTTGTTGGGAGCGTCATGAACAATCGCTATTAATTAAGCTGCTGGGAAATGCTGCGTGGCATCAATAGCTATAGTCAGTTTGTGTGTAATCATGTTTTAAGGAATTGTCTCATAGTATATCCAGCTACAAATAAAGCTAATACCTGGGCACAGTGACTCACACCTATAATCCAAGCACTTTGGGAGGCCTAGGTGAGAGGATTGCCTGAGCCCCCACGGCTTTCAGACCAGCTTGGGCAACTTGGCAAGACCTCATCTCTACAGTAAATAAAAAAATTAGCTGGGCATAGTGACGCATGCCTGTAGTTCCAGCTACTTGGAAAGCTGAAGCGAAAGGATCGCCTGAGCCTAGCATGTCGAAGCTGCAGTGGCTGTAAGTGTGCTGCTGCACTCTAGCCTGGGTGACAGAGTGAAACTCCAATTCAAACAAAAAAAGAAAAAACAACAACAAACAAATAAAGTTAGTATGCTGTCCAGCAGATTATCTTAAAAACTAATCTGTGGTTTGGAAACAGAAATGTTATTTTATTTATTTATTTTTTTAAGGTACCTGAAATGCTCCACAATGATGCAAGTGACCATGGATGTAGCCGCTGGGGGTACTTCTTTTTGCAGAATGCTGGAATACTTTTGGGTTTTGGCATCATGTTACTTATTTCCATATTTGAACATAAAATTGTGTTTCGTATAAATTTCTAGTTAGGGTGTAAATGCTAGAGTAGCTTTAAAAATTGTTGTCATAGTTTGAGTAGGTCATAGAGAGATGAGTTTGTATGCTGGGGTATTCAGCACTTAAAGTTATTGGATTTTGTGATTTTTGAATTCAGTATTGCCATCTGTTACACGTTCAAGGTCAATTATGGTGGTAACATAAAGGTATGTCTTAATATTTAAGTTATTCTATTTTGGAAATAAAGCTATATGTGCAATTCATCAATATTACCAGTTTATTGTATAAATAAGAAATTGGCATGACATGTTCTATATATTTTAGGAAAAATGTCTTTAATGCTTTTTCAAGAATTAATTGAACACAGTAATTCCTGTGCTGGATTTTAGGCTCTGAAGAACTGCTGGTGTTTATGAGTAAGAATGTGCATGAGGGCCGGGAATGGTGACTGAAGCCTGTAATCCCAGTACTTTGGGAGGCCAAGGCGAGAAGATTGCCTGAGACCAGGGTTTGAGACCAGCCTGGGCAACTTGGTGACACCTTGTCTCTACAATAAATCAAAAAATTAGCCAGGCATGGTGGTACTTCCAGCTACTTGGAAGGCTGAGGAGGAAAGATAACCTGAGCCCAGCAGGTTGAGGTTGCAGTGTCCATGAGCTTGCCATTGCGCTCCAGTCTAGGCGCCAGAGTGAGACTCTGACTCAAAACAAAACAAAAAAAGAGTGTGCACGAAACCTAAGATACCAATAAAGCTTGTATTGAATTTAAGCTCAGAACTAAGGGAGAAAAGAGAAGAATCTAAGAACTGAGCAGGCAAAGATTTCTTATAAAAATCACAAAATTTGTTATAGATGGTGAAATTTAGATTTAAGTTTAAAAAAAAAGACAATTAGTATAAAGTACATTCATTAAAGGTTTTCATCAGGATTAATGTTCCTATAAAAACACAGTGAGCACTTTTCATATACTAATCTAGCTGTACATTTAACTTTGTATAATACAGAAGTGTAAATATATTTAATGAATTCAAGCAATTTATCACTTGACCAAACAATTGGAATTTCAAAATATTAGTATAGATATATACCAGATGAGTACAATGAGTAACTTTATGTATTACCAGAAGATGTGTTTATTGCCAAATTATGTCTCCAAAAGCTGTATGATTGGATGTTCTGGTTATCTGGTTTACCAAATGTCGGAGTATAGAAACCTTGATTTTATATGAGAACGTTAAGTCCCTGCTGAGTGTAATTGGGTTTCTTAGATTCAGAAAGTACTTTGGTATCTCTCAGTTCTTCAGTGTTGTCATTGTGAGCAATTGTCATTTTATATACAGTACTGTAGTCATAATAGGGATGTCTGGCATTCTCTAGATGTTTCTTTTTTACAAAATAAATTCCTTATGTCAGCTCAATGTCAAATGTTTGGTTTTCTTTCTTTATTTTTTATTTTATTTTATTTTAGTTGGAGTCTCATTCTGTTGCCCAGGCTGGAGTGTAGAGGCATGCTCACAGCCATCGCAACCTTAACCTGCTGGACTTAGGTGATCCTTCCGCCTCAGCCTTCCAAGTAGCCGGAACTACAGCCAGCTAATTTTTTTGCAATTTATTGTAGAGACAAGGTCTCACCAAGTTGTCCAGGCTGGTCTCGGACCCTCAGGCTCAGGCAATCCTCTCACCTCGACTTCCCAAAAGTACTGGGATTACAGGCTGAGCCACTGTGCCCAACCCTTTTCTTTATTTAAATTGTTTCCCATCTAAGCCATTTTTAAGTGTGGAATTCAGTAGTTTTAAGTATCCTCATATTGTTTTGGTATTTTTTTTCTTTTTGTTTTTGAGTCAAATTCTCACTATCACCCAAACTGGAGTACAGTGGCACGCTATGGCCACCACAGCCTCAACCTGCTGGACTCAAGCAATCCTTCTACCTCAGCCTTCCAAGTAGCTGAAACCACAGCCATGCAACACCACACCTGGCTAATTTTTTTTTGTTTTATTGTAGAGACAAGGTCTCACCAAGTTGCCCAAGCTGGTCTCAAACCCCTGGCTCAGGCAATCCTCTCGTCTCCCCCTCCCAAAGTGCTGGGATTATAGGTGCGAGCCACTGCACCTGGTTTACTTGTTAAAATGTTTCCGGCCAGGGCTCGGTGGCTCAGCCTGTAATCCCGCGCCTTTGGGAGGCTGAGGTGAGTGGATTGCCTAGTTCGAGACCCGCCTGGGC